AAGATGCACAATTATTGTTTAGAGTTTACGACCCACCCCCCACAATCAGACATGCTGAAACAGCGTTGTGAAATGATTTGCTTTCTACAACTTGGTTTAAGAAGAAAATGATGTCACGGGGCCGCTATCGCGGCCGCGCGGTTTTGAATTTCTGCTATTTTACTTATTGACCCTGGAAGAATTTCTATTAAAAGTTAGCTAGTTAAGAGATTTGTTTCTGTGACCTGACCTGGAGTCGTGGCCGTGCCGGAGAGCTGCTCGTGGGGGGCAGCTGGCGACCTCGGTGGGGTGTGGGGGACGGCCCACAAAGCCCCCCTTCCCATGAGGTCCCCGCCGCTCCCCCAAGCCTGGCTCAAACCTGCTTTCCACAAGGCTCCCGTGCGGCCACCATCTTTCTTTCCAGAGAGGAGCGGCTCTTCGAAAACTCTTGAGCTAATTCGCCAGCGTGGTTTGGCGCATGCCTCAGGCAACCGCAAGCTAACGTCTGAGCTCGCAAAGCAGTGCAGAGATGCGATCAAGGAAGACCTCAAAGAGAGAAGAGCAGAAGTAGTGGTAGATGCAGCATAAGCCGGGAAAAGTATTCGTAACAACCGCCTGTCCTTCGCCAACTATAAGACCAAGATGACTGCCCTCCGACGTCCTGTTGGATCCATCACATCCTCCAGAAGGCAATGGAAAAGATTATCCATGACTTTTACTCAAATAAAAATAATAACAAACGTAAAAGTACCGATTAATATTTACCCTGCTAGACGTTGGAGTCCTGGGGGCCTGGTGGGGTGAGTGTGGGGGACAGGGAGGACAGATCTCAGGGAGGGGGTTGCGAGTGTGAGGGTGTCACTGAGAGTGGAGCTGCTCTGGGAGCGACAGGGAAGGGTCCTAGGAATGTTGCTGGAACTGGGCATGGAGGGGAGTGTATGGGGGTGAGAGGGGTGAGCATCTATGTATTGTGACAGAAGATTGGCCCCTGTGGGCTTCTAGCACATGGTGATCCTCTTTGTCCCCTGGTGGGACTGAGGTCTTTTCCCAGGTGGCTCCCTATTGCCCTCTAGTGGTAGTCAGCGCCCCTGCAGCCGCTCCGTGTCCCCTCAGGACTTGGTGTCTGGGCTCTTTTGACTGACCCACAGTCCCCTGCACAGTCACACCCCGGGTTTACCGTATCTCAGGCTGCTCCCCTGCAGGTGGTCACAAGTCTTTTTGGTCTCAGGAGATGGTGCATCAGTCCCTCCCAGAGAGTCAGGGGGTGATTGTTCTAACAAAGGCCTGCCCTTTCCCTGGGCCTGGTGACCTGGTCATCCAGGAGTTGCTGACCAGAATCTGCACAGGAGAGACTCCATCTCTGTCTCTTTCTGTCTCTCTCTCCCTCCCCCCTCCAGGTTAAGCCTTCAGTGATTATATGTTTTAATTGAGATTGGAGCTGGAACTCCACATTACATTCCACCGTATCTCCAATCTGCTGTGCTACTCCTGTTTGATCGAGTTGTAGTGTTTGAGGTGTCGCTCCAGGAAATCCAGAGTTTTTAAAGAGGTAAAATAGCTGAAGTTAAATCTTTAACTGGGGGAGGCTTTGGGGCATGTGCGTGACTTCCTGGGCTTCCAGAACTACAGAAAGATGGCGGGAATGTAAAGGAAATATCAGAGGGACAATGAGAGATGTCACGGAGAAAGACCTTTATCAGAAAAAGACTCAAAAGAACAAGAGTTGGGATGTTGTCAAAAGCAAATCTGTTTCCTCATTACCTTGGAATGTCTGATTTGATGTCTATGAAAAACAGCAGGAGATTTCTCTAAAAGGTGAAATTAGAGTTTCCATATAATGCACTGATTCGAGCTAGATACATTCACCCGAAGGTGAAAATATCAAATTAAGTTACAAGAAAACATACACTGAAGTATTTGATACACTGACTAGGACACAGAAATGACCCTAATACTTAATGACAGTTTCATGAGTAAGAAGTTGTGGTATATATACATAAAGGGATACTGTGCAGTTGCTAAGAAAAAAAAGACAAAATATCAGTATTTTCTGCTCCATGGATGGAACTAGAGAATATCAGATTAAGTGAAGTTTGTCAGAGGGAGAAGGAAAATTCTAACAATCTCATTCAACTGTGACACACAGAGAACAGAGCATCAGGATGGACAGGATCCATTGATTAAAAATCCCTGCATCCTAACCACACGCTCGGGTTCCCAAGAGGAGTTGGGTGAGGGCTTAGATCACTGGGAAGAATAGGCCAAGCACAGGGGCCACGGGATTGTTTGGGGGTCTGTGAGTTTTGGTGCTGGGAGAAGCGCAGGGAGTTTGGGGCCCACAAGCATCAACACTCAGACTATTGTCATCATGTTCCCTCAGTGACAATCAAGAAGGGAAGGGAAGAAATCTCTCATTACTGTGAAGAGGAGTGATCTCTACTGGAAGAAAAATCAATCACACCTGACCTAGCAGGAAATAACAGTCTCTGGTGGACTCTGAGACAGGAAGAGGAAAACTAATTTGTACTAGAAGAGGAAGTAGCACTGTAGCACTGTCCTCCCATTGTTCATCGATTTGCTTGAGCGTGCCCAGTAACGTCTCCATTGCGTGACTTGTTGATACTGTGTTTTGCCTATCGAATAGGTCACGGGAAGCTTGCCAGGCTTTGCTGTGTGGGCGAGATACTCTCGGTAGCTTGCCAGGCTCTCCAAAAAGGGCGGAGGAATCGAACCCGGGTTGCCGGATCTGCCGTGCCGGCTGAGTGTAAGGGAAACTCCCTACCCACTTTGCTATCGCTGCAGCCACAAAACTTTAAAAGAAAAAAAACGAATTGTAGGGCTAGAAAGATAGTACAGCGGCAGGGCGCTTGCCTTACGCATGGCTGATCTGGGTTCATCCCTGGCATTTCATATGGTGCCCTGAGCCATGCCAGGAGTAATCCCTAAGCACAGACAAAACCAGGAGTATGCCCTGAGCACCACAATGTGGGGAGGGGGGAAGGGGGAACAAACAAAAAGAAAAGCGAAAACAAGAACAGAACAGACACTTCAATTTCATTTCAGGGGTTGAGAGAGTCGTTATTTGTAATGTATCTCAAGGCAATGATGCAGGATTGTTGGAGGAAAATAAATTAGCTGAAAATTTGAAAGAAGATATTGGGAGAATTCTGAAAATCAGACAAATTACATATATATATATATATATATATATATATATATATATATAGTTGCCAGGTGTACCCAAATTAGGTTATTTTTAAAAAGAAAAATAGAAACCAGACATAAACATTTTCTAGCAAATTAAAATTATTGTGTGGGAACATAGGGGGAGTGTCTGCTACTGAAACACAAAAGTGACCAGAAACAATTCCCGATGAATGCAATCCTATGAAACTTAACCTATAAATGCAGGGGAAATAGTTCAACCCCCGGGGGGTACGTGGTGGGTGGGGGGAGAAAGGGGAAACGATGTGTGGAGCAACAGTACTGTGGGAAGGGTGTTTGCCTTGAATGCGGCTGACCTGGGTTCAATTCCGGGTATCTCATAGGGTCCCCTGAGCACCACCAGGAGTAATTCCTGAGTACAGAGTCAGGAGTAACCCCTGAGCATCCCTGGGTGTGACCCAAAAAGCAAAAATAATAACAATAATCACTGTCACTGTCCTCCCGCTGTTCGTCGATTTGCTTGAGCAGCCCAGTAACATTGTGAGACTTATTACTGTGTTTGGCATATTGAATATGTCACAGGTAGCTTGCCAGGCTCTGCCGTGCAGGCGAGATACTCTTGGTAGCTTGTCAGGCTCTCTGAGAAGGGCAGAGGAATCAAACTCGGGTCGGCCAAGTCGGCTGCATACAAGGCAAAAGCCTTACCCGCTGTGCTATCTCTCTGGCCCCAATAATAAATAATAATAATAATAATAATAATAATAATAAATAATTCAATGGGCTGGAGTTTATCCTTTGCAGGCTGGAGGTCCAGGTTCAATTCCTGGTACCACATAGTGCCCTGAGCCCTGCAAGAGGTAGGAACGGGTCACTGAGATGCTCACAAGCACCGCTGGGTTAGGCCCAACCCCACAACACAAAGAGATCTTAAAGCCCATCAACAAATAATCCAATTTTTAAAATGGATTAAAGATCTGAACTCACACCTGTGGAGAGAAGCAGATAGCAATAGGCTCATGCAAATGATGCTCAATGTTATGCGCTGTTGGGAAACTGCAATGAAAACAACAAGCTACTTGGGGGCCAGAGAGGTAGTATAGTGGGCAGGGCACTTGAGTCACACAAAGCAATCCTGGGTTCAATCCCAGTACCAGATAGAGTCCCCCTGAGCTCTTCCAGGAGTGAGGCCAGAGCACTGCTAGGTGTAACTCCTCCCTCAAAAGCAACAATAACAACAACAAGAAACAACAACAACAAAGAAAGCTTCAACCTTGGAGCTGGAGTGATAGTACAGCAGGTAGGGCGTTTGCCTTGCACACGTCCGACCCAGGTTCGATTCCCAGCATCCCATCTGGTCTCCCAAGACCCACCAGGAGTAATTCCTGAGTACAGAGCCAGCAGAAACCCTTGAGCTCTGCGGGGTGTGACCCAAAAAGAAAAACACAAAGAGCTGCAACCTTTAAGAAGGGTTAAAATTCAGAATACCAGCACCACCAAATGCTGGTAAAGATACATAGTAACAGACGTTCTCATTCATTGCTGGTGGGAACACAGAATTGTGCAGTTGTTGACTTATTCCCACCAGAAGCAGTAGAATCCCCATGGAGAGGAAGTGGTGACTGAAGTGTATATACTTATTTTTTAAGTTGGTATAAATATTCTAATACAGAGGAAAATGATCCCCCCACCCAGAAGAAGAAAAAAAAAGAAAGTGACTTACTGGCCCTTCTCCCCCTGCCCCGGCACAGCCTGGGATAACTTGGAGCAGAGCGCCCCCTGGTGGCCACAGTAACCCCTGCCGCTGCCCTGTGTCCCTCAGCAGGTTTGTGTCTGGGCTCACAGGGACTTGCCCTCACTGTGTATCTTGCACAGTAATACACGGCGGTGTCCTCAGTTACCGAGTTGCTCAGTTTTAGGTAAACTTGGTTCTTGGAGGTGTCCCTGGAGATGCTGACTCGGGACTGAAGACTTGGATTATACTTTGTGGTTCCACCAGCCCATATAGCACCAATCCAATCCAGCCCCTTTCCAGGGGCCTGGCGGACCCAGCTTACATCATTGCTGGTTAGAGAGAATCCAGAGACCGAGCAGGTGAGGGACAGCGTCTGCGAGGGCGTCACCAGGCTTGGTCCCGACTCCTGCAGCTGGATCTGGGACAGGACGCCTGGGAACAGAGACTCACAGTGAGTCATGGGCTCAGAGGCCCCATGCCCACCTTTGAGCCTCTGTCCAGGGGATACTCACATCCAGGAGCTGCCACCAGAAAGAGGAGGAACCAGCGCTGATGCACGTTCCTGCCCACGAGGTCCATGATCTCAGACACTGTGTCAGGGGGAGAGGGAGCCTGAGTTGGGGTGAGTGTGAACGAGGTTTTAATCCTGGGTCCCGAGTGCAGATTTGCATGGGGGAGCCTCTGGAGAGAAAGGAGGGAACCCGGGGGAGGATGGTGTGTGGGCTCCCTGGGAGGAGGTGCTGACTGTGGCTCAGAGCACTCAGGCCTGTCCCTGGGGCCCTTTCAGAGCTGGGCCTCTTCCTCCAGCACAGGAAACGTGCTGAGGAGCTCTCAGGAAACAGAAATTGCTGAGGGGGAAATGGCAGCTGGGGAGGAGAGTCCCTGTGTCTCAGGTCCCTGATGACAAATCCCAGCACTCTCATGGCCTCTACCCTGCAGACAGACCCCTGCCCCTCCATGTCACTCTGTGGTGGCTCCTTTTCTACTGTATATACAAAATCTGAGACGAAACACACAATGTAATTGTCACAGTGAATTCTGACTTGGTTTGGTCGAATCCCAGGTCAATCAAATTTCACAGAGTTTATTCAGACACTTAGCAAGGATGAACATTCCTTCACCTGTAGCAGCATTATTCGTAAGTATACAGGTATTTATAGATATACATTCTGTCTGATGATTCATTTGTATCAGGATAAGGAAGATACTTCTGCCTAGATGAATTTCGTGGCATGGTTGACCTGATCAGCAGTAACAAAACTTGCTCAGTCCTGTGTATAGCTCAGTGTCCAAAAGATGACTGTGTTCTTGGTGGTCATCATTGAGAAATCACAATCTTGTGAGTGCTTAGAAAGACCCAGTAAACAGTCCTCAGCACATAATCTATTGGGCCAGAGTTTTGGTCTTTGTGCAAAGATCAAATGTACAGTGTGAAAGCCCTGAGTAGTGACATGTGAGGCTCTACCCTGCCCCCAAATACATGGAACCTAGACTCAGCCTGTGTCACCTAAGTGTACCCCTGATTCTATGGAGCATCAGGAGTTTGAGTTCAATATAAGGGACAAGAAAATATGCTCTTAATTTTCATGTTCTAAATGTCAGCATTAAGGGTCAAAGTAATTGAAACAACTAGCACGTTCAACATAATTCTATTAAAATAAACACAGAAAGATATATAAAGAACTCAGACAAGATGCGGATTGAACAGATCAATATTACACCTCACATACAGATAGCGCTAATAGGATTAATAAACCTTCTCTTATGTAAAGCATGTGAGTCGCTATGGCTCTCTGTGCCCAGGTGTCCTGTGCCTGAGCTGCAGGCCCAGAACGGTGAATCCTCCGAGTTCTGACCAACCTGCACTGTCTCTGTGAGCTCCACCATTAACAGCAGTTTTCAGGGTAACTTGATACCCGGACTTCAAATATAATCTGGATGGACGGGGAGATGCAAAATGATGGGACTGTTTCCTAAAGCTACTTCACCAGAGCAAAGGGCAATTTCTTAAATCTATGAAAAGTGGTTTCCAACCACCAACATTAATTGATAATTTTATAAACTTTTAAAAAATTTGTTTTAAGGATATTAAATAAGATGGATTTCTTTGTTAAAAGGTTCTTGATTCATTTGTGGCTGTTTCATTCACACAGATGTTGACTAATAAAATATCATGGGTTATCACTACTAGTTTATTAGAAACGATAAAAGAAACCAATCAGAGATTAATTGAAAGCCTCAATCATTCATTTTGTGTTTTCTCATTGTGACACACTCCTGGCACCATCTCTCTGTTCTCCCGGGAACCTGGCAGTCATGCACAGGAACTGCCTCTGTGCCATGAAAACTTATTAATGATCACGATTTGGAGATTACAAATAAATCTTGGAGAGTAGCAACAAACTGCAGAGATACATCTGGACCCCAAAGTCACCATCAGTTAAAAATTTAACTCCAGTTATATCACTGTCACTGTCACTGTCCTCCCGTTGTGAATTGATTTGCTTGAGCGGGCCCAGTAACCTCTCTATTGTGACAATTGTTACTGTGTTTAATCACTAAATCACAAAACTTCCCGTTAGTCGTCAATTTGCTCGAGCGGGCGACAGTAACGTCTCCATTTGTCCCTGTCGCGTGCTAGTGTAGCCCAATGGCATCTGTTCGTTCCGGGAACATGAAGGGCCTCAAACCGAACGTTCATGATCTTGACGAAGAAGTCTGACCATCTGGTAGGTGGGCGGCCACGCGGTCTTTTGACATCCCATGGAATCCAGTCAGTAACAGCTCTAATCCAGCAGTCGTCTTAAAATCTCATTACATGACCAGCCCATCTGATTTTAGACACCTTGGCAAATGAGACAGCGTTCCTGATTCTTGATTTTCGACGGATGTCAGAACTCCGGATTCTTTCTCTCATTTGAGTGAAACGTGATATTCCAAGCATAGCTCTTTCTATTCTTCTTTGGGAGACCTGAATAGCGTTCTCATCTTCTGTGCGTAGGGCCCAGGTTTCTGAGGCATATGTTAATGCAGGAAGAACAGTGGAATCAAAGAGATGTGCCCGGAGCCGGAGGTTCGTCGTCCTCTTAGCTATTTCTTCGACGTTCTTGAAGGCGTTCCAAGGTGCTCTCTTCCTCCTGCGCAGCTCGGGTGCCAGGTCATTTGTCATGTTGACCTTTCGACTTAAGTACGCATAGCTATTGCATAGGGAGTTGGTCGTTCCGTTGAGAGCGAATGGGGCGTCAGGAACAAGGCTGTTTCTCATAAACATTGTCTTCATAAGATTCAGCTGTAGTCCTACCTTTCCACACTCACGGTCAAAGTCGGCCAGCATCTGTGCCATTTGGCTGATGTTTGGTGTTATTAAAACAATGTCATCAGCAAAGCGGAGGTGGTGTAGTTGCCAACCATCTATCTTCACTCCCATTCCTTCCCATTCTAGTCGTCGCATGATGTTCTCGAGGGTGACACTGAAGAGTTTCGGTGAAATGGTATCACCCTGCCGCACCCCTCTCTTGACATCAACGATCACTTCTTTGTAGAATGGTGAGATCCTGGTAGTGAATCCGCAATACAACTCATGGAGGATCCTGATGTATTGGGCTTGAATGCCCTGATTGGCTAGGACTTCAATGACCGCTTCCATCTCAACAGAATCAATCACTTAATCACTTAATCACTTAACTTCCCGTTAGTCGTCGATTTGCTCGAGCGGGCGCCAGTAACGTCTCCATTTGTCCCTGTCTCGTGCTAGTGTAGCCCAACGGCATCTGTTTGCTCCGGGAACATGAAGGGCCTCAAACCGATCGTTCATGATCTTGACGAAGAAGTCTGACCATCTGGTAGGTGGGTGGCCACGCGGTCTCTTGACATCCCGTGGAATCCAATCAGTAACAGCTCTAGTCCAACAGTCGTCTTTAAATCTCATTACGTGACCAGCCCATCTGATTTTCGACACCTTGGCAAATGAGACAGCGTCCCTGATCCTTGATCGTTGACGGATGTCAGAACTCTGGATTCGTTCTCTCATTGGAGTGAAACGTGATATTCCAAGAATAGCTCTTTCTATTCTTCTTTGGGAGAACTGAATGGCGTTCTCATCTTGTTTGCGTAGGGCCCAGGTCTCTGAGGCATATGTTAATGCAGGAAGAACAGTGGAATCAAAGAGATGTGCCCGGAGCCGGAGGTTCTTCGTCCTCTTAGCAGTGTCGAAAATGGCATGGTGAGATTCGTGCCTTCTTGTCTCGGTCAGACCAATGATGTCATACTTGATCATTCGCGCTTGTACCATCAGGTCCTCGACGGATGCATCTGATGCTAGCGTACGTGCATTGAAAGTACAGACGATCATTTTTGTCTTCCTTCGTTGTGGCAGCCTAGGTCGGCCTTGAGATTTTGTCGGCCTCTCCTTTCTCATCGTTCTCAGTGCTGCCATGTCGGTGAAGCCTTCAGGGTCAGGTGAATGAGACCAGTTGTAGTTACTGGTTTTGGCATATCGAATACACAGCGGATAGCTTGCCAAGCTCTTCCATGCGGGCGGAATACTCTCGGTAGCTTGCCAGTCTTTCCGAGAGGGATAGAGGCTTTTGGGGTGACCTCTAATCACCCTTGTAGGTGTTACCATATTTGAACCCTATCAAATATGGTACGACAATTCCAGAAGATGGGTATTTAGTGTCTTATGATGTGTCGCGCGGCCGCAAGCGGCCGCACTGGTCTGGAAAGCATCCAGGAGTGTGGCGACAGCTGGGTAGTGGAAGTAGTGTCGGGAGTGGAAGTCTGCCAGTGGGGTATTTATCTGGGTAGGGTGGGTCTCCTGTGCACAATTCGATCCCTGGATGGTTGATGGAAGCACACAAGGCAGGGTAGGGTGGGGCTCCTGATTAGAATCCCTTTGTCACCTGTGGTGGTGGGAGCAAGCAGAGAAGCTCTGTCCTTGGGTCCGCCGAGCCTGGAGAATCAAAGGCCTTCTTTAAATCAATGAACGTTAAACAGAGCGGCATCTTGAACTCCCGAGAAACCTCAATGAGCTTGGTTATCGTGTGGATATGGTCGATGGTGCTGAATCCTTTGCGGAACCTGGCTTGCTCGCATGGTTGTCCTTCATCTAATGTTCTGCCAATCCTATTCAGGATGACTCGAGTGAACAACTTGTAGATGATAGACAATAGGCAGATCGGGCGATAGTTGCCAATGTCATGGATGTCTCCCTTCTTGAACAGTAGTACGGTCCTGCTGGTTTTCCATTGGGATGGAACCTTGCATTCAGACAGGTAGCGAGTGAAGAGCCGAGCCAGTGTATTGATGAGTACTGACGGCAGGTTCTTCAGGTGTTCAGGTCTGACGTTGTCTGGGCCGGCTGCTGTTTGTTTCTTTACCGATGAAATGGCGTGTCGGATTTCAGAAGGGAGAACGTTGGGAACAACATATCCATCCTGTGGAATTTGGTATGTCTGCAAGTGGACATGGCTATCGATGAGATTTGAGTAGAAGTCATGGATAATCTTCTCCATTGCTGTTCTGGAGGATGTGATGGATCCATCAGGACATCG